AGGACACTTCTGTTTAGATATAACTGTAGCACATTGGGCCAGGACACTTCTGTTTAGATATAACATTAGCACTGTTGGGCCAGGACACTTCTGTTTAGATATAACTGTAGCTCAGTTGGCCAGGACACTTCTGTTTATATATAACTGTAGTACTGTCGGGCCAGGACACTTCTGTTTATATATAACTGTAGCACTGTTGGGCCAGGACACTTCAGTTGACAATGTAGCTTAATCAGTTACAGTGATAGTACATCGAACTTTTCCTACGAATGAAAAGATAAATTGAATTTATGTTACACCAATTGTGAAACAAGTTTTCTAACTTATATCAATTACAGGGTCTTAATGAGGGAGGAAACCAGAATACCTGAAGAAAACCTTCTTTTCGACAAATGACATTTGGTCACTAACATCGATGATGATAGAAAATTAGAAAACAAGAAAGCAGTTTAAGTACGCTTTATTGTTTTACTGATTTGATCTTTTTGGGAAATTCGTTTTTGTTCATATTTTCCTAATATTTATTATGATGTCATAATCTGCTGTAGAATCGACAAAAATCTATTTCGCGATAAAGTCGCAAAAAGATACAGGATATCATAATTTTATCCTTAGAGAAGTAAACAATCTCTCAGATTAAATGTTGAGTTTTCAAAGTTAATAGCAGGATTGGAGATGTTTCATCTTCAGTAATAACATTTAATGCAGATTAATTCTATCATCTTCCTTGATTAATTAATTTAACAATTCTTTTTGTTGGACAAAATGTATAATATCAGAGACAAAAAAGTGTGATATTTCTGTTGATCGTAAGAAAGGTGTAGAGCCCAATTTCTGATTCCAAGTTATCCATGTTTGTCTCATTTTTTCAGATCGACGTGTTCCGTTTTTTAAGATGTAAGATATATACTGTAAAATTGGTTTTGGAGATCACCTCTTTTAAACAATCCGTTCTTTTCATCCCCAAAATTCAGTTTACCATTAATGCTATGTCTACAATATATATACTGTTATCCTCGTTTGCGCGTGAAGGATCAGCAATAATGTCATATTCATTCAGATCTCGATCAAGTGTTTGTCCTGGAGAGATTTAATATAGTCCAAATAACCCCGACCCAAATATCCTTGAGATGGTAGATATAGTCCAAATAACTACGAACCGAATATACTAAAAAGGATAGAGATATTCCAAATAATCCCGACCCAAATATCCTAGAGAGGATAGATATAGTACCAATAACCCTGACCCAAATATCTTTGAGAGGATAGATATAGTCCAAATAACCCTAACTGAAATATCCTGAAGATAACAAAGATAGTTAATATAACCACGACCCATATATCATGGAGAGGATATACATAGTCCAAATAAACCTGACCCAAATACCCTAAGGAGAATAGATATAGTCAAAATAACCCCGTCACAAATATCCTGTAGAGGATAGAGATAGTCCAAATAACCCTGACCCAAATATCATGGAGAAGATAAATATAGTACCAATAACACCGAACCAAATATCACGAAGAGGATGGATATAGTCCAAATGAGCCTGAACCAAATATCCTGAAGATGATAAAGGTAGCCCAAATATCTTGGAGAAGATAGAGAGTGTTAAAATAATCCCGACCCAAATATCCTAGAGAGGATCGATATAGTACCAATAACCCTAACCCAAATTTCCTGAACAGGATAGAGATAGTCCAAATACCCCTGACCCAAATATCCTGAAGAGGATAGAGATGGTCTTAATAACCCTAACCCAAATATCCTGAACAGGATAGAGATAGTCCAACTAACCCCGACCCAAATATCTTTGAGAGGACAGATATAGTCCAAATAACCCTGACCCAAATATCATGGAGAAAATAAATATAGTACCAATAACACCGAACCAAATATCACGAAGAGGATGGATATAGTCCAAATAAGCCTGAACCAAATATCCTGAAGATGATAAAGGTAGCCCAAATATCTTGGAGAAGATAGAGAGTGTTAAAATAATCCCGACCCAAATATCCTAGAGAGGATCGATATAGTACCAATACCCCTGACCCAAATATCCTGAAGAGGATAGAGATGGTCTTAATAACCCTAACCCAAATATCCTGAACAGGATAGAGAAAGTCCAACTAAACCCGACCCAAATATCTTTGAGAGGACAGATATAGTCCAAATAACCATGATCCAAATATCCTGGAGAAGATCGAGATATTCCAAATAACCCTACCTAAATATCCTTGAGAGGATAGATATAGTACCAATAACCTTGACCAAAATATCTTTGAGAGGATATATATAGCCCATAAAACCCTGACCCAAATACCCTGAAGAAGATAGATATAGTCCAAATAACCCCGACACAAATATCCTGTAGAGGATAGAGATAGTCCAAATAACCCTGACCCAAATATCCTGTAGAGATAGTCCAAATAACCCTGACCCAAATATCCGGGAGAAGATAAATATGTTACCAATAACACCGAACCAAATATCACGAAGATGATAGAGGTAGTCCAATTAACCCCGGCCCAAATATCCTGAATAGGATATATATAGTACCAATAACCCTTACAGTTAAGTAATATGCTGTCTCTGTTTGTCATGGTGTTTGTGAAGAATGAACAAAACGGCTGATGAAGATGTGTCGGTAACGTCGTTGATTTAAAGTCAAGGATTATATATACGACAGACGTGGTCAATCAGATTCGTAATTTGATGAGAGTAAATAGTTGATTTATCTAAGTTTTTCGTTTTCAATAGTTCTGACTAGCTCGTCAATAACTTCAGACTAATAATAAATTAATACAAGTTTGCCAGAAGAGGGGCACAGATTATTCCCACAGGAATGCCTACTGTTCGCTTTAAAATCTTACCACGGAACTCAATAAAGAAATTGTCAACTAGAAACTGCATCATTCTTATTGTATCATACTCGGTATATTTCATTTTGACTTTTGGTGTGTTTTTCACAAAATACAACTTATCGTCAACAAACAGTTCAAAAAAGTTATAACAACAGCAAGCAACTATAGATACACAGGTTTAAGACTAGATTTAAAAGTATATTTACACTTTACCATCAACAAACTATTAGTGATAATTATAGCCATAACAAACCAATAATTAATACTACATTGACACACACGTCCAGGTAGTCACCAACATCTTGTTAATGACATTACACATTGCGTTATTATTAAATGGAAAACGGATAGAAACTTCTAATGAAAATAGATATGACAAAAAATAGTATACACACAATGTTAAATTGGGATAATGAAAATACGTTATCTGTCATGATTGAGGTTATTTGAAAGCACGAGCTCTCAGTGTTTTTTACAATGGCAGTGAATATAAGCTTCGATATGTTTAAGTAGACAAACGGAAGTGACTTTTTTTACATGTCATCTATGGAAGATTGTGAAATTAAATACTGTTCCATATATAGCTGAACTGACGTCAACAGGGAACACGTGATGTTGCTGGTTTAATACGGGTATCCAAAGTTTTCGACGAAAGAGACTTCCTGTCACTTTAAACACTAACATTGATAAACATGGAACGAAGTAAAACAAGGAAGCAGTTAAACCCTTTCACCACTGTAGACCATCATGGACTTATCCAGATCAATGGTAGAGTTAATTAAAGTTACATAGGGGTGAAAGGGTAAGCTAAATCGTTTCACTGAATTGTTGTTGAGAAATTGTTTTAACACGTAACAAACTTCACATTCACCTCTGATACAGTATTGTTCAACATTCATTAAGGCATTTATACTAATAATAATAATTCGAGGTTCTTATATACCGTTTTATCACAATCTAGTTCGTAAGTTGTCTCAAAGCGGTTCACAAATTATGATCCGTGGTTATAGGGCCTTTGCAAGCAGCCAATATCTTGCTCAACTCCCTGGGGAGCATACAGCCGGTGCTGCCATTGCGGCGCTCACATGTACAGCTTGCATTCTACAATTCTAGTACTGCCAAACCACGTACTCATTTACAGCCGTTGTATCTTTGAACAAGCAGAGTAAAGTATCTTGCTCAAAGATACAACACAGTGCCATGCCGTGACTCGAACCCGCAACCCTTTGGTCACGAGCCCGGCGTCCTACTGCTAAACTACCGTGCGTCGGTATATCTACTAAATCATCATAAGAAAAGTCAAATGTGTTCTACATTTTGTTTTCAATTTTAAACACTCTATACATACAAAATTTGAATGGATTGAAACCAAACAATGACTTGACCTAATGCAAAATACCTCATTAGTTATTAATACTATGTATCGATTCGGATATAGCATGGACCGTGTCACAATTACACTTACAATTAACCTAGAGAATGCCACTAAGTTACAATATAATTTAATACTATTACCAATATTTGATTTCTACAGATGTATTCCTATTAAATAGCATCATAATTTTCACACGCAAAAATAACACATATGCTGTTGTTATCAAGAATCGATAATGTATAGCATCAAATCTAGTTAATGATTTTCTAGATAAGAAAATATCTCTAAGCGAGAAAAAAATTCCCCTTTGTGGCCTCATCTTCTGTAGTAAACATTACATACTGCATGTGTAAGAAATTTGCTCTGAAATGGATTATTTCTTTTAAGATTTTAACTGATGCAGTAGTACCATTTTCTTTGATTATGAGACTTTTTCTTTATGAATAACGACAAAAAACCACAATATTAGCAATTATTTGATGTAATAAGACGAAATATAGGCACTAGTATGTTGTGTTTAAAATAGACTTTTAGAGACCAATATTTAAAACAAAATCGTTCTTTTAAGAGCCCACCATTTCTCATCCCCAAAATGCAGTTTACCGTTAATGCTAAATGAAGAGACCATTAATATCAAGAGGCTTATTTCGAATGTCTGTTGATATAGATTTAACTATAGTGACATACAAGACAGTATTTTAGACAACAATACAGATATTGTAGTATATATTGATACAGACCTCATAACATGCCTAAATACTATTCTCCTCGTTTGCGAGTGTAGGACCAGCAATACTGTCATTTTCACTCAGATCTCGATCGATTTCCTGTCCTCCGGCGGTGTCATAATCTCCCTCAAGCTTTTGTTTGATGCTAAAAGTAGTGTCATAATCTGAAATGACATTGTCAGAGTTGGAAGATTTACCTTTTTTTACAAAATACGTCGTAATGAGTGTTATCTGCTATCATGGCGTGGGTCACGTGATCATAATTACTTCAATCATGTGTCTCCTGCGATCGGGGTATTTCGTCGAGTTCGTGATAAATTGCTTCATCACTACCTGATGCGCCAATCGTGTGGTACTCGTTTTCCTGAATTTCTTCAATGGTCGCTGATTTATCTTGTCGGTGTGGTTGTACACCTGCTCGGGTTTGCGTTGATGATACAGCATTGTCAACCGGAGACGTTCTCTTTTTGGTCTTATTTTTCGATTCTGGCACCTTTCTCATATAGAGGTAGAGTAGAATTGCAACCAAAATGCAAAGCACACAAATACTGGCCACGAAACCCCAAACGTAACCAGGGATTTGGTCACTTTTTCCAACGTTTCCCGTAGACCCTACAGGACCAACGTTTCCAGTGGACCCTTCAAATTCAACATTGCGGATACATAGTGAACGTAACGGAGTGTTACAGGAGGTAGGTTTTGGCTCCCCTAGCGTCCCGTTCGTGTACAAAACGGCAGCCAGACAGGTATTCAACGGACGCCGAAAGGCTGAAATCCAGTAGTGTTGAGCATCTTTGAAATGTTTGGTTGCAATTTCTCTATTTTCTTTTATTATTGAATAGCTCGGGAAGAAAGTTCCTTTGTGTTTACACACGTCTGTAATGTTAAGCCACGTAGAATACTTATTATCGTATAATCTTTTACTTTTACGTGCTACACATAGCGATGTTTTGTTTTTTAAGCACAAAGCATTAGAGAAGTTGAGTTTGTTATTAGCTTTGAACGCAAATAGACAGTTTCCATTCCGCTGTTCGTCAAGTTCGTGCGTGTAGTTGGTCAGAGGTTGATACATACACATCACATTGTTGGTATTTCCAACAAAACTTGAATTCACTATCAGTAATCCTGATTGATCTGGATCTTGCGACGTATTCGTGCAGAAACACTTTAAACTTGACAACATGAAAGAAAAAGAATCACAGAATTTATAACAATCCAGAAATGGATCGGATATGTCAATCGATTTGTCATTGATTTTAGATGAAAAGGTTTTTTGTATACATCCACGAAAATCAATCCATTTGGTAAAATTTCTTTGCCATCCTATCCAAACCCTATCTTCAGTCTCGACAGGGGTCTCAATGTGGAGAGGACTTAAAGCCATGGGCTTATTAGGAACATTTGGTAGCGAGCAATTAATGTCGATATTCCCGGGAACTTGTATCCTCTCTTCTGTATCAAGGTACACATCAAGGGAGGCAACTCCTGACACGATGCCGGCCAACACGTAGACGAGCACCCCTTTAAACCATTCCATTGGTATGATTAATTGAATACCTCGACCTCGAGGTGATTTATAATGTGTTTTTTGCAGGTGTCGGCTACGTGCCAGAAAAAACAAACTGAAGAGATATGCTTCTTCTGTGTTCATTTATGTACAAATCACAAACCACAACTTCTCTAGAGGTCAATCATTCCGAAATCATATCCAACAGGATGATATCCGTGTGATGAAAACCAGATTTAAGGCACTGATGGTCAGTACTGCGGTCAATATCAATTTCCTGGAAACTAATAAAGTTGATGAAGAGGTCGACTATACCTAATGGTGAAAGCGTTGTATCTATGGCCGAACCGACTGTTAGCTTGGACATCCTCCGTATTGTAATGTACAAGCCGTTAAGATGAAATCATTTATGAACGATACATTAAGTGCATGAGTTAAAGCGATATTTTAGGGGGAGATTTTTAAGTGGCTTGAACGGGAAGAATTATAAACAATTGTTATGTGTATATATGTAGTGTGGTGCATATATCCTTTCTCAATACAAACTCGGCTGTTTAAGGATGTAACGCACATCAAACTGTATCCTGGAGAGGTTCGAGTGTGGGTCCAGATAACCCTGACCCAAATATCAGTCCGAATGCATTTCATTGACAACAAGAAGTTATATATTATTCTACCACGACTGTGATGTAACGACGGTTTTCATTGGTTAAAAAGAGTGCATTATTGAGCGATATACCATGCGCGTGCCAATAACCAATGCCAATAACCAATACACGTGAAATAGTGCGCACGCATGCTGTTCCAACAACCTCCCCGTACTTTATCATGAATTAACAAAAATAGCATAACTGTCAGGCAGGATCAAAATATTTGATAGGCCTGCCATTCAAAAGATTACACGGATCTATAGACCAAAAGTATGTGAGTCCGTGCACTGAAATAGGTTTATTAATTATTGACATTTAAAATGTACAGGTCTGAAGACAAAATGGTAAATTATTAATTACTTCTGCTTTTACTTCACTGGGTAGTGCCGTACATTTCACGATGTGTGCAGTGTGTGTATGTGCGGTCAAGCGTTGATTTCATGTTTTGACGAACGATGTCGATAGCGTACCAATGTTTGATTGATTGAAATAAACATCGTATCTGACATCACACGTGTTCAGTTGTTTCTGGTCTGCAAAACGTCGTCTGCTTTCAAAAAATAAAAGCGATGTCGAGCATTCGCCTAGAGTGTACATACTGTGTGTGAAGAATAATGTTGCAAAAAGTAGCATCGGTCTGAACAGTGGTTGCAAAACACAGCTGTCCGGTGAAGTCGGTGAAGGTGAAGGTGGTGTCATGATCAGCAGGTCAGCGACTTCCCATCACGTCATGGCAACCAACTAAATTTGCCAACTCATGTCAGGCCTATCGTATGATGTTGTATCAGTGGCACTTTCAAGAAAATCCGCTTGATCCCGCTACGATGATGATGGTTTTAGAAGTAAACGCAATCCAGGAATCCCAACCCTACGCACTGAAAAATGTTGGTGCGACATTGATCAAGTTAAAATGAGGCAACACGATCACGTGATAAATCTTGCATGCGCAGAAGAATAGCGTCTAATTTGCATATCGAATGATCTAGGTCATGTCGCCTTATAAGACAGCAAAACTTTACAATTAGTTACATTTGACGTGGTAGAATGGAAGTGGAAGCGGCCTTCGTTAATTCTTTTTACCAACATTTTCTCACCCTCGTTATATATTCCACCATAATGCACGCACATATGTTGATTATTTCTAAAATAACTATGAGGATATTTCTTATGTGCATAAATACTTGCATATTAGTTGAAATATTTGAAGACAACCCAGACGTGTTACGTTTTTAACACATGTTATACATATAAACTACACTTGATTTATTTGATGCAAATATATGATACTACATTGTTCACTTTTTATCGTATATATACGTTTTACACTTTATTGTTGTACAAACGTATAGAATTGCTTTTGTTGTATAGATGTATTGCACTTACACTTTATTTTTGTACAAACGCATAACACTTTATTTGTTGTACAAACGTATAAGACTTAATTTGTTGTACAAGCGTTATACATTTTATTCGTTGTACAAATATATTACACTTTATTTGTTGTACAAACGTATTACACTTTATTTGTTGTACAAGCGTAATACGATTTATTCCCTTTACAAATGTATTACACTTTATTTGCTGAACAAACGTATAAGACATTATTTGTTGTACATATGTATAACACTTTATTTGTTGTACAGATGCATTACACGTTATTTTTTGAACAAAAGTACAACACTTTATTTGTTGTACAAACGCAGTACACTTTATTTGTGGAACAAACGTGATACATTTTATTTGTTGTACAAATGTATTACACTTTATTTGTTGTACAAACGTTTTACGCTTTATCGTTGTACAAACGTATTACATTTTATTTGTTGTACTGATGCATTAGACTTTATTTGTTGTACAAACGTATTACACTTTTTTGTGTAACAAACGTGATACACTTTATTTGTTGTACAAGCGTAATACGATTTATTCGTTGTACAAATGTATTACACTTTATTGTTGTACAAACGCATTACACTTTATTTGTTGTACAGATGCATTACACTTTATTTGTTGTACAAGCGTATAACACTTTATTTATTGTACAAACATATTACACTTTATTTGTGGAACAAACGAAATACACTTTATTTGTTGTACAAATGTTTTTTCGCTTTATTGTTGTACAAACGTTTTACGCTTTATTGTTGTACAAACGTTTTACGCTTTATTGTTGTACAAACGTTTTACGCTTTATTGTTGTACAAACGCATTACACTTTATTTGTTGTACACGCGTATAACACTTTATTTGTTGTACAAGCGTATAGCACTTTATTTGTTGTACAAGCGTATTTCACTTTACTGATTGTTAAAACGTAGAACACTTTGTTTGATTTAATACAAACGAATTACACTCTACTTGATGTACATACCTACAATACTGCTGTTATTTGCTGTACACACATTTTTAAGACTTTCTGTTGGCTCTTCATACATACGTCATACACTTTTCATACCTGTTTAACAGACAGACTTGCATACATTAGATGAAGATACAAGTTCAAGTTCAAATTTCATTTACTTGTCAAGCATATATAAATCCATTGCAGGAATAACATTCATACAAATGAACAATTAAAATATATTTAAATATTATTATAATAATAAATAATAATATACAACAATTATATAGCGCCCTATATAATTTGTAAAATTACTCTAAAGCGCTTTACAACATATGGATAGTAGCATAAGTTATAATTGTGAAACAAAAACAAAGGCTTACACTCACTTGTATACATTAAGCAAGCAGATAATCATCGCAATGTGCACATCAATGAATAAATAAAGGGTGGTATTTACATGACGTCTTTGCAAATAGTCCAACATGCATACGTGAAGAGGTTTTGATGTCTCTCTTGAATTTGGCCAGGGTATTTGACTTTCTAATAGCAGATGGTACATGTAAGCAAGTCCACAACATGGCCGAAACCCTTACCAAAGCACCGGTTTCCATAGGTCACAGTACGAGATTATGGGAAACACAACAAAGATTCTTACTCCGACCGCAGTGATCGTGACGGCTGATACAGGGTAACAGGCTCCTGTAGGTACTGAGGAGCTGTTCCATTCAGTGCCTTGTATGTGTACACCAAAATTTTGTACTGCGACCTGTATCGTTCAGGTAACCAGTGCAATGAATATAGCACAGGTGTGATGTGCTTTCTCTTTCGAGTATGAATTATAACCAGCCGTGCTGCAGTGTTCTGGACCCTCTGCAGACGACTAGCTAGTTTGTCAGATATACCACAGAGCAGGGCGTTACCATAACCCAACCAAGAGGTAACAAGTGAATTCAACAAAATTTAGCATGCATCTGCAGTTATAAACTACCGGGTGCAACCGATGTTCCCGATCTGGTAGTAACAGGATTTGGCAATAGTGTTTACTGGTTTCTCCATGTTTAGTGAACTATCAAACTATACCCCTTGGGTTTTAAAAGCCTCAATAGTTCTGGTACCGACCTTGAACTGGACAGCAATTGTTTGCTGACACTTTGGGGAAAAGACGATTAGTTCCGTCTTTTCCTGATTAAGCTTAAGCATGTTGGCGTTCATCCAGGTATTTATATCTGTCAGACAAGATTAATTATTTTCTGAAATTGTATCCCAACTGTCCTGTGGTTTGATAACCATTTAAATTTATGTGGCATTAGCATAGCAATGATAGCGAAGGTTATGGCGACGACAAATCTCTCCGATCGGTTTGGAGTACAGGCAATTTGTTCGTGGTCCTAACACCGATCCTTGAGGAGCCCCGAAATCTAGTACTTTGTCATGTGAGGTGGTAGATCCTATGGCAACACACTGTCGTCGTTCTCTCAGGTAAGACTGTATCCAGCATAGTGCGGTATCAGTCACTCCATAAGAGTACTCCAGACGTTTATAAAGTAAGCCATGGTCGATGACGTCAAATGCAGCTGACAAGTCCAGCATGACAAGCCTTACATATACTTCATTAATACAATGTAGAATATGTATGTACTCAATGAACATAACCAGAGATCTTGTTAAAATACAAGTTCTGTACGTTGAAATGATAGTTTAGAGCTGTTACTATCAACAGTTCATATTTCAGACAGATTTCCTAACGTCATTTAGATTTAATATGTTTAATTAACATTAAGAGATAATATCTGAATATTTTTCACACACCATAACGACATGGTCATCTAGACTCTCCTCCTCGAATTTCTTGGGTTTACTCTTAATTGCGTTCTCTGCATCTCTGGAATATGTATTGACAAAATCATTTAATTTTATTGATTTCCGGTTAATTAAAAAAAGGGAAGAAAATAGGGACTGATCAATGGCTATTCTTCTACCTGTTTTTTTTTTTTAAAGATTATAGATATACGACAGCACATTTACAAGCCAGTGAATTTCACCGTTAAACTGCCGCGCGTTTCTTTTAATGTACATCGTCCACCAGAAAGTGTTTATAGAACCTTTAATTTCGTCATGACATATTTCAAGGGCGCTGAGAAGATAACAGAGCGTGTCACCCTTATTAGTACTCCTACATTTAGGTGTTGTAACAAGCAAGAAAAGAACGCACAATGCATTGCTTCGGGTTTAGAGAATGCCATATGATTCATCACATCAATAAAATGGTATTTGAAAATAGTACATATATATGCTACACTCTCTGGTAGAAATATTATATATGAATTGGTTATTAATAAAGTTAATTTTATTTTCTTCATTTATTTTATTATAGGTTTGCATAGGGGATAAATTGCATTTCGTATTACGTTAATTTAAATCAATGGATGGAAATACATTTCTAAAGGTAATTCTGAACAATACTAAGATCGCACTAAGGACGGGCTCGCCTAAAACAGTTTATCTCATAACGAGGCGCGCACGTAAACAACCACTGGGCTACACCATGCACAACATGCTGGAGTATTTACAGTGTTGTAAATTGATGCAAAATTATCGTGTCGAAGGGAAAAAAATGTTTTTTTATATTATTTTGTCTTCAAGAGGATACTTTGTTTTAGGAAAGACAATAGTTTTTGACACTCGTCTCATCCCCGTATGCGTTATTCACATCTTATTATATCACGAAACTCGTCTTGACCACAACCGGCCCGCCGTGCCCCATTATATGCAACGCTAGTAATAAAAGCCAGCAGAAAATTTATGAATAATATTAAGCTTTCAAGCTTCTACTTGACACGTTGTGTGCGTTAATGAGAGGGAGAGACCCAGATGGTTCTTTCAACAGGAGAATATATATATACCCGTGTAGGTCCCTTCCGACTATCTTCACTCGCACGTAAGTCGACACCATGGCAGTTTGGCTCCTAAGTCTTGTTTTCAGCGGTAAGAAACTATAAGATATGGTTGCGTGTTATTACTAGTAATAACGATCTACATTGATAACCAACTTATCATATAACCATAAAATATGTTATCTACGCCTTGCATGCAATAGCTCTGCATTTGTCTCGTTGAGTTAAAGTAAGTAAGTCTATTGCTGAGGTATCATAGTCATGAATTCATATGTCGACGGATGGTAGATTTGTTACAATTGTGATATTATTGTTCATGCTGTTTACAGAAATGTAATTATTTATCACAATGTTGCCTATCGGTACGGAATGTTCCTATGTCACGGATTTGTTTAAAGTTTTGAAANCTTCTCCTGTGATGTGACCCCGAGGTGTAATGTAGAACTGACATTTGTTGAACAGCTTGCGATGTGGACCTCATACAGTTTCGGTGTGACCTGCAGTTGTAAACTACATCTTTGTTAGTTAAACAGTTTTTGATCTGACCTTTGATTGTTAAGAATAATAGTTGTCTTTTAAAAAGTAAGTTTGCTTTTTATTTTGGTTTCTTCAGTTACAAAGTAGCATGGTGGTTAATTGTTTCTGCCTATAAATTGACGCGTAAACATTGCTTAATGTTAAGCATGACCCAGATGCATCATATATGGTTCATGCTTATCATATCATGGTGAGTTAACATGACCAAGATACATCATATCTGTGTTCAATATGTCGGTAATGAGAAGACACGTATGCTTTGAATTAGCACTAGAAAAGTAAAGTAAGAAAAGCATCTATTTACTATTTTTTGTTTGCAGATGCAGAAAATCGATCACAGTAAACATGTTATTGCACCACGTGATATTTTTGTCCACTTAGGACTCATCCGTGGTACTAAAGGGCAAGAGAATGAAAACACCATATGTGAAGAGTTCCAAAGCATGTGTAAAATATACCAAGGAAACGAAAGGGCCTTAAAATCACTTTATACTGTGAAAAAATTACAACTTAACCCTAACTCATGAAATTTGTATCTAACAAGTCCTTCCTGTTAATGGAATTGAAATTAATCCCAACTACAAAGTTACAGCCAAGAAAGGAAAAGGGCCTTTAAACACCCTTATAACGTTAAGAATTTACAACTTAAAGCTAAACCATAAAATTTATATTAAACTAGTTTTTCATGAAAATTGTGTTGAAATGAATTCCAGCTACAAATCTTCAACCAACCTTTGGAATAAAAAGACCTGCAGCGGAGGCAATCGCCTTGAATTTTCAACACACACATAACACCAATTTAAATAAATGTAAAATTAAAATAGTGTCAAACTTAAATACTACACTTCACTCGATAAGGTAGTTATAATTATATCAGAGAGAAATCCCCCTTGTGGATAGAAAACAAAAATGGTACAGCATCACCATATTGTGAATAATGATACGTCTTACGTACAATAACCAAAATAGCTTTTTTATTCTTATCTTCATTGACATATACTGATATAAACTTGTTAATTTTGCCTTCACATTTTAAAGTAAAAAAATGATATAATTCTATTTAAACTTTGACATTATTTTATTTATACATACTAAAAAAATATTAAAAATAAAATAAAAAAATGTACAGATACAAGTTAGTAATGTTTTGCGGCTAACCTTTTAACATATGTTTTATTTTTATTTACAGGTTCGCTGCCAAATATACTACAGAAGACCTTTGTTAAGATAATGACTGACAATGCCTGTTCCGTTTCTCTCGGTTCTAGCTTGAACAGCGACATACACATTTGTGTAGACGGTGCAGGCACCTCTGGAGGTTGCAATGTAAGTCACCCTTGTTTTTACAGTACAGCTTAAGTCATAGTACAAACCAGGGCTACAGGAAAATTTAATTCATTCATCATATATCTTGTTAAATCTAGTTTTTGCGTCACCAATTATAGACTATCATAATTATATTCCAACTGATCGCAATACTTGTATCTGCTGTTCAATAGAAATGTAGTTGAATATTATACATATATATACATATACATTATATGTAAAACCTCTTTATGAAACTGATATATTACATAAAGGGTCTGCTCACTAAAATAAATAAAAACGATGGCCGAGATGTTGTTTAGAACTTGTTTTTTATTCAGAATAAATATTCTCTTGGCACTTCAGCAATAACTGCCACTAAGATAGGAAGCAATTCCACCAAGAATTTTCTTCATAAGCTCACCTGCCCGAATGCGTCCATCGAACAAAATATTACTAGAGTCGTGAAATTTGGCTGATGTCTTCCTAGAAAATATCCTCCCAAAGCGGTGAATTAAAATAACTTTGAATGAGTTCCTTTTGTTATAGAAGGGTTGAACAAACAAAATCTTCAAATGACCACTTCTGAAGAACAAAAAGCCGGATACAGCCTGTTCTAATGTTATACCTCATTATTCAAAAGGGCGTCATGATTACATGTAGGCCTAAATTATTTGATGAATAATTCAATGCTTAGAATTGAAAAAGTAAGAATTGGAGATTTTTTAATTGTTAACCAGATAATCAAACATAGGGGTAGTTCAAGTAATTTAAACCATTCCTTTGTTGAGCCCCGAAAGTTCATTTCGATCAATTATTTGCATATTATTTTTCATTTTGACTAAAACAAGACATTGATTTAACTTAAGGAGATAAAATGCGAAAATGGATGGGCTAAAATATTCTTGTATGCAACTATCCTTCTGCAAAACAGTTAAACAGATAATGTGTAGAATATGACATTATATATTATAAATATCAACGTTATTTTGACTGGGCAGTAACTTCCTCTTATTTAAATTTTGACTGCCGCAATATTGAACGTGCATGTGCTACTTAGCAGTAGACCAAAGGGAGGTAACTGTGCATGACTTTTCAGAGCAATTTTGATCCAAATGAGTTTAGGCAATGTTTTGAAACAGAACAAGATTAAAACTACCATAGTTGCTTATGAAAATCACCATTTGTATGAATGAAGATTTGTTTTTTATTGACTTCTTTGTTTATTTTATAGACTCTCTTAAAATGTAACGGTAACATGATTGGGTATGCTTTCACATTTTGCTAGTATTGTTGTTGTTTATTTTGCAGGGCGACAGTGGCGGTCCTTTGGTGTGTAGAGTCGGTAATGACTTTGAACTTGCTGGTGTGACGTCATTTGTCTTTGGAAAATGTTTGACAAGCTATCCTACAGTATACGCCGAGACGTACGCCTTCAGGACCTGGATCCAAAACGTCATGAATAACATGTAATCAAAGTTGTAATCGTGTTATTTCAACAATAAAATACGTAATGTCTCTGTAATTGTATGTGTACTGCTTCACACGAAGGAATCCTATTATATACATGTATAGTTATATATACAATGTATAAAAAAGAAATGACACAAAGAGTTTCTTAGTAATTCCCTTGTACTTCATCAGGGATGTGAATATGCACGTTGACAACAAAACACACAAAAAAATGATAACGTCATGATATAATATGACGTCACAATATCACTTACCAGTAATGAATGAGTATATCACAGGCTGTTCACAAACATTCGCTTTATTTATTCATGCAACGATCTGTGCTGTGCTGTGCTTAGCAATTCAAACCAGGTTTTAATAAATCAATTAACATTGATTATTTTTACTCTCTTTGTACATTATCTTCTGTAGCTCGGAATCACATGGAAGTTACCATTTGCACAAGAATGTATGTATGTAAATTTACAGTGAAAAATAATGTTTTGTCTGCTGCATGTGCAGTGTCACAAGTTGACGCAATACACAACCAGTTTGTCCGATGTAAAATTCTAAACAATTAGCACAGAGTATTGTATATATATATATGTATATTAATTCAATCTTCAATTAAACCTTTGAGACAGGTAGTTTATACTACCAATAAACCACTTCGACATGCCTAAAGGCTAAAAAGAAGGTTTTGATGCTGCAGTGGTCACCCGTCCGATACTCTTGACATGCTCATAAGTAATTGATGGTAGGAGTACCTGGATCGCAATGTAAGGATGGATACACGGGAACGCATCAACAGACGATTTGTCAATATGAACCTTTAGATCCCGAAAACGCTGATACAAATTCTCCAAAGTTGTTTTGTGTATACTGGATGGAAGTTGAGACATAGAAAATAGCGTTACATGCTTTATAATTGTCTGTGTATGGTTTCATACAAATAAAGAGATCACAAACAACAATATTGCCCAAAAATGTATATCTTAATTGTCATCATGAAGCACCCATTTAACATGTTAAGAAAAACAAAATTCATAATAGATGCGAATGCACATGACAAGGCGTATATTTAAATCCAATTTCTACTTTATTTTCGTTCAACAAGTTTTATTGAGTGAGAAGGTGGTTTTCTTCAGTTACTAGGCTGAAATCAACTGATAATATGCATCCTGATGATTAAGAGTGTATAATTTAATCTTGCTTGTATCAAGCATTTTCATTGGCTTAAACATTTATGTTATCAGCCAATAACTTAAAAAATGACGTCGACGTTTGTAACGTCGCTTTTGATTGGCTGATACAGCAGCGCAATAATTTCTAAGAGAAAAGAGTCCATCAATAAAATTGGATTCCCACAGGGATTGTGTATAGTAGATTAAATTATAAGGATTAAAAAAAAACGGAGTGTACTCTCATCATCATTTAGAGTACACTCCGTTTTTATGTGTGATATCTCCATAACATGAAAAATATATTCAAGTTAATCCTTAAATAACATACAAATAGTCACCAGAAGATTATTTTAGGGGGAAAATGAACGATTGTTTTTAAATATATTAACAGATTCAACCCCCTTACGTGGTTTGTCTTCGACTTCGGGTTCTCCAGTGTCTGCCATCATTTAGACCGCTGGCTTCCATCCGAATCAATAAAAGTTATTAATATTAATTGGGAAAACTTGTTGAATAATAGTTTTCTGTTGAACTAACATTTTTTTCAATGATGATAGAAATGTTTTGTATATATTTTTGTAGTATTTTAACAGTGATCATATATGATATTATGTTAGACGTTTAAGGTTACATTATTACATTGCTTTTGGATATGTTATTCATTGAAAATATCGGATCTATTTAAAAACATCCAAATACAATGTACAATCAATCGAAAGAAATGCACATCTGAGAGCGTAGAATGAAGCATCTTCAGTAGGAAACATTGGATACAAAAAAAAAAAAAAAAATGTCAACAGCACAAATCTTTCCCGAACAACCAGATTATTGTGTAATAACTGAACTGTGAGATGTAAAGTCTCATGAACTCCTGATTCAATTAACACAGAGATTCGGTAAAACCTTTTTATTAAATGACAAAAATTACAGGACTGGTTTTTGCAACCGTTTTCATACTTCTGTTTGGGTTATGTTCATTCTCAACTTCTTATTCCGGTGATAAATGAATAAAAACACATTTTTATTATGAGTTACAATGGTGCACCAGTACATCAACAAATATAAGCCGTTCGACAGATAGTGTGATATTTAATATTAGTTGATGGTTGTAATAAGTGTAATTAAATGCAGTTACCATATATAAATCGAATACAACGAAACTCTTAATTGTGTATTCGTTTGGTTTTGCAATGTATATGCCAACAAACATTAATTAATTTGTAAGGTTTAACCCGCACAATTTTCATAACATCCCAAAACTGAAAAAGTGACATGAAAAACAGTATTCACAGCTATATAAATTATTTACAGCTAGGTTATAAATGAATTGTAACCAGGTCATTCTTAATAAAGTGAAGAGTATTGCTTTGTAATGATTCTGTAGTACGAAACATATTAAATAAGAGCATCTGTGCATGGGGAGCAACATCGTTTACAGATTATCTATTTTCTTCAATCTTACACTCAGCTTTACTGTACTAAACTCTTTCAAAAATGACTTGACTCACGTGAATTTTATTTCATTTCCTTTTTTCATTGGTAGATTGTGCAGGTGGATTCCTTAGTCCCCGAAGACTGCCGTTGATACAGTGTAATTTATATTTGGCAGTATGTATGTGTTACCAATTTTTTAAGGTGCAGTCATCTGTCTGTCTGTTTGATATCTTTACCATTCCACACAACGTCTGTTGCAGGGATCACCTACCACCCAGAGATTGGGCATTCATCTCCAAATGTTTGGTAAAGCTCCATATCTCTATTGTTTAGCTTTGGGGTCTGTTGGTATTGTTAATCGAGCTGTAATTATGTTCTTGTTTGTTGATGCTGTCTTTTTTTAAAATTTATTTTTTATGGAAATACATTGCCATCATGTACCGAAATTATAAAGAGTCAACTACCAGGTACTACTGGACATAGTACACCCAAGTGTTTCACCCAAGAAGTATTTTTTTTAATTTTCATTTCAAAATATTTTATTAAATCAAGTGATTCAATGGGATTTGGACAACATGCTTTGCCTATACAAGCCCTCTTCCTTGGGTTACACACATTTCAAACAATAACAGAATTATAATTTAGACATTAACATATTAGCACTGGCTTGGAACATTAAAAAGTACTTTTTTAATAAATATTCATAGTTCAAATAGATGGCTACTAAAAATACAGACTAATAGTTATGATATGTACACACATATATATATATATAAACATATACGCACATATGTATAATCCAGGTCAACATGCATATGCTTACGATGAAAGGAAAATATCAACATTTAACAAATATACAAGAAACAGGATTTTAATTACTTTATAGCAGAACAAATAGCCAATATTTTCAGTATAAGTTGAATTCTAATATTATATTAACCAGTCCCCCAACACCACTCCCACTCCGGATATCAGTTATAACTGGGCAGCACTAAAATGTCCATACACACCACCACTGTGTGCTTACCCAGTCATGGAAGATCCAGAGAAGGAGCCATGTTGAGGGAATAGGTACTCATACCTACATGCATACAGATATATAAACACTGGATCAAATTACCATGACATCTAGCACTAGTGCAAGATCCTATATGTTTTTTGTTTTTGTTTTTTATTCTGAGAGCCTATTAGTGTGTTAATGGTCTCTATCTATCTCTGAACTAAGCACAATTAAAAATTACTGAGGTAAAACAAATACAGTAGTTTTTGTTTTGTTATTTGTTCTTAAATAGTAACCAGTATATATAAAATATATTTCAAAATGGAAAGCCATGAGTGTATACTGCATTTGTAAATAATCAAATTTTATAAATTTTACAACATAAATTAATATCAAAAACTGGAACCTCCATTCAATACAGTAAATATTAGATATTATTAGTTGAATAATTTGTAACACCAACTAGTCCTCCATCACCACTCCTACTCCGGATAACACTTATAACTGGACAGCACTAAAATGCCCATACACACCACCACTGTGTGCTTACCAAGTCTGAATTGATAATCCAGAGCAGGAGCCGTGTTGAAAGAGTATTCATATAGACATGTATACATACACATTGGGAGTAGAATTAACAGTTAACAAAGTCTGTTAGTAGACTCAATATATTTCTGGACACGGACACAAATATCAGAATTAAGATCATGACTAAGGTGGTAACTTCCCCTAGTTAGTATATTGATATTATTTACAAAATGTTCAATCAGGTTTAAGTCGAGATTTAAATGCAGGTTAAGCTGAATGTCAAGCTGCAAATGAGACAGATAATCTAATAGGTTTTGTCATTGAATTATATACCTAGGGCAGTATAGAAAGAAGTGATCCACATCTTCGTCATGGTTGCCACATATACAGGATGGGCTATTAGTAAGGTGGTCTCTAAAAAGATCAGAATTTAATTGACTTGCATGGTTTCAAAGTTGACATAAAATTACGTTAAAAGATCTAGTCCCTCCATATTTAAAAGCATTTGTACACGTCTTATCAGCAATAGGAAGAATGGTATGATGGACGAGTCGCTTTGCAAGTTCACATACCGACCTCAAATTATAATGATTACAATCGGGTCTATTCCACCAAGACATCATACTACGAAAGAAACTGTTAAAAAAAATACTAGTTCTGAAAATGGGTGCTTGAAATATACTTTGATGTCGAATATCATGAGTCACTAAGCCATTGTTTATAATATAAGGTTCAATGTTTTCAAACACATAAATATGGGTATCACAGTTTGTTATTTAAAAAAATGTATGCTCGACAATTGATTACCTTTTCTTCATCCGTTGCTTCTTATTTCTGATATTGCAAAGGACAGGCTCACTTTAATTAACTATTTTTGTTTTCATAACGAGGCGTCACTCAACAGTGTAGTTTACAGTGCATC